ATGGCCGACTGGCTGCCATCTTGTTTGTTTAAAATGTGATAACTTGGACATGCTTTCACTTGTGATCTATGTTTTTCTTTGCTATGTCTTAAACCGGAGGGGTCGTCACACAACACATGTTCGAATTTGATGTAAATAAACAATCTGTTGTATACGCCACTTGGGACTCAAGTTTCAAGGACATGCTCGCAACAACCCCTCTACTTTAATAACTTTAACTTTAACTTTAACTTTATTGACATTATTCTTTCTATAGAAGATGAACATAGTCAAGTGAAATAAAAAAAAGTAAAAAGGATAAAGGATTAATATGACGAGCACAAAGCGAACTTTCAAAAATTTAACGGGGACTGTGTCATTTTCAATGACTTGTTTTTACATTTGTCAAAGGCTGCAGCTAGTACCATATTTGATATTCCACAATCAAGCCTTTTGTAATATTTTATGCTTGCTGTACAGATATCCAAAATAAAGTCACTTCTGCATGCTGTTTTGAAACCTATCCCCTATACACCAAGAGTTCTTTTACAAAACTTAATATGTAGGTTCTCTGCCTTAAAATTATCAGACCACAGCTTGTGATTAAAACAAACGGTGTTCAAATTTTTTATAATTTTTATAAGTGCTTCAAATTATAAAGCATTGCCACTGAGATGAGATATGGTGGTGAATATAAAAACACAAAAAAACTGTATTGATTACTTGTGTACTACATGCATCTCAAGACAGTGGTGCAAACACAGATGTGCTATTTAAGATTTTAATGAAATATTTCCTTTTTCATAATTCAAATTTCAGATTTCTTACAATGACTACAAAGTTGAAATCAATGTCATCTCATCCGCTGTTTGGTGTTTATCTGGCGTTCACTATCATACTACATGGTACATTATCATCGGCACAGACAGGTACATTTACAATATGTTCTCACATCAGTCATGGTCTACAAATACCGTTAAAGTCCTAATATAAACCACGGTTTATATTACAATGTATCAATTTAAAAATTGGGATCAAAAGCTCAAGTTCGGGGTGCGGTTTCTATTACGTACATATTGCAATCACTAAATGGGCGTGGTAATTTTTTGCCCACAACACATTGCACAAAACAAACAATACACCGTACAATCTCTTGAATAGGCGTCAGGGAAGAGTGAAAAGCCTTACTTTGGTTCTAAAATAGGCGTTACGAAATGTTGAAAAATTATACTGTCCTACATGATAAAAAAAATACTCAGTATATTTAATGTAATATGCATTTA